TCATCAAACACCAAAAAAATATAATGTACCACCTGTGCTGTGATCATCACAGAAATAGAAATCCACACGCACAAGTGGAATGAGTTCACCGACTTACTTAAGAGCCCTAGAAGGCTCCCAATATATAAAACTCAGGGTAAGATGGGGGAAGAGTAACATCCAAGGTCATGTGGGATCAAGTGAGCCACCACAACCTGTAAAAGGGGAAAAGATAGTAGATCTTTGGATATACCTGCATTGACAGGCCAGAAAACTGCTGAAGGAGATGTGTATGGGCACATCCCAGAAGAACAAGGAATTCAAGAGAATAGAAAGCACCCATGAAAGAAAAATTGTTTCATGCAGGAAATGAAGGAGACATGAAAGCCTTGGTATTAAAAGTTCTATGTTGCAAAGACTTAATGAAGCAAGCTGAGCCTATCAAGCATATGAAGTGAGAAAGACAATTCCCAAAGGAAAAGAGAGATTACAATAGAAGAAGCCACATTGGAAGGAGCAAGTACAGGCCAAATGTCCAAAGAGTAGTAGAAAATATACGACAAAAATGTAACCAAGCAAAAACCCAAAGAAAAAATATAGGGCTAGAGCCAACTCAAATGGAAGGGCTAAGAACTGAATGTTTGACCACTGTGAATGAATCAAAAGAAGCAAAAAGTGGGCAGACAAATTTGGATGTGGAGAAAGTGTCTGAGAATTCAAACTGATTCATACTCCACAGAGGAAAGTATTCACTGCAAAATGAGAAAACTATCCATCTGGAACTTAGGGAAGACTAAAGTTGGGTTAAATGGGACAGACTGATGACTAGCTGCCAACCACCTATTTTCATGGAAATAGCAAAAGGTCAAGTGTAAAACCCCTAACCGGGGTAGAAGAATTGTCCCATGGAATTTAAAACAGATGAAGTGAAGAGTGGAAGGACAAGATAAAAACAACTAAGAACAAATCTTAAAAAAACAATAAGTTGTATCAAAAGGGAGTCCACAGGTGTACAAAGTAGAAGAGCATAGCTCCCACAACATCAGAGCTGAGTGGTGGCATTAGAAAAAAAATCACCCCAAAACACAAGATAGTTAGTCCACAAAGAGAAAGGAACCTGGGATGGTAACAAAAATACAAGAATTAGGACAGCAGGTTACCCCACAAGGCCATATATGATGAGAAAGCTGATAGGGCCAGCTTGTCAAAAAGGCAAGAAACCAAAATGATCAGAGATGAATGCTGTTAAGCTGCATCAGCTCAAGATGCTAAAGTAGAATAAATACCCCCCCCCCCCAAAAAAACAAAAAAAAACAACACATCACAAAGAAAGGATGCAAGACAGAGGATCTAGAGTGAAAACTAAGGGAGGTGAATGTCAGAAAGGAAGGAAACCTGACAAAGTACATCCCAGAAACAAAGAAACCATGTTAACTATGGCAAAATGGAAGAAACTCAAGAGGTGGAAAATAGATATGTGCAATTTTCCCCAATAAAGCTTATATGGTCATGATGTAAAGCCTTAAAAAGAAAGGAAAGCATGAGAATGAACAAAGAAGTTAAGTATGAAAGAAGGACAATTAGATGAAGAAAGTGAAAGACATAGAGGAGAAAGGAGATCCCTAAACTAAAAGAAGAAATTCAAGTGATGAAGGCTCATGCAACAAGGAAGTCCAAGATTCAGCCAAGAATAACCAGAGAAAAAGAAAACAAACGACACATACCTGTGGAATCCAAGCAGTGAAGGATGAAGGTGGGAATACCCAATCCTCAACAGGAAGAAGGAACTAGAAACAAAAGCAGTCATGGAAATAAGATTGTTGAAACACATTACCAGAAAGGACATGCATAGCTGTAGAAACAGAAGCAAGTCAAGAATACTGGACCTGAGATCAGAATTAAACCAACCATGTGGTGTAAAATGGTGGTAAAATAACAGAGTGCCCCCAGCTACCATTACAACATTGGACGATTCCTGTGAAAATGTGCCAAAAATATCAGAAACATGAATGTGTAATCCAAGTAATCTATAAAACTGATTTTGTGGTGGTTCTTTTTAATAAAACAGAAGGAATGTAACAAACTTCAAGATTTTGTTTTATTTAAATAAAATGAGCCTGGTATGTTGATGACCTAATGATGATAGTGCAGATTCCAGGATGAAACACATATGTTAGGTTAATCAATGTGAACAGACAATGGGACATATGTCCCAAAAGTATAAATCTGAGTAAAAGAAAATCAAATTGAGGGCTATAGTCTGACAGTGATTACATCATCAGCTGGTATAATACATGACAGATGCAAGGTTGGGAGCTTTGTTCAAGGCTTGTGGAATTCACAGGAACTTACACATGAGTACACACAAGGTAATAGTTCTTCTTGTGATAAGAGATGAATAATGTTTATGAAGTAGGACCTACAAAGTGGTAGGAAAACACTGTCTACCAGACTTAACCTCAATTTTCATGAATTACTTTTTACCAGAAGAGATGGAACAGACTTAAGCCTACAACATCTCATATCAATGCTATATTTCATTATCTGCCACCAATTATGGAAAAGAAAGAAAGTTAGAATAAGCAATGAAAAAAAATCATATAAAAAAGAAATGAAACCATTAAAATATACCACCAAGAACAATAAGTAAAACTTATACTGAAAAGTGAGCTTCACATCCTTCAAAATTGTAAAAAAAATCATGCTGTAGAAACAAATGATCCATCAATGTTAAGGCCAAAATAATATTAAACACTAAAAACATAATGCTACCACATCCTCCACCCATAATGGGTCAGCTCAGGTGTAATATGTGCATGTGTATGTAAATTAACCAAAAGTTAAATTAACACAAAAAACTTAATGCATCATAATATTCAGAAGAACTTATGATAAAGTTAAATCGTTATTATATTATTTTATCTCCAATTTTATGAAGGATTTTCTGTTTAAATTTAATAAAGAGATGCTTTTACTTACGAAAACATATCATTTTGAGGTACTGTGAACAAACCTGTTAAACATTAGTTTATGAACAAAAAGTTCAGTATTAGATATAAAAAAAGATACATTTATTATAACTTCTGCAAATCCTTTGAAACTGTGATATAACAAAAAATATTGTTTAAAGCTAAAGGAATAACTGTATAATGAGAGAAAAATCCATAAATTGGAAAATCCTTTTATTAGAAACATTAATATCTTTTGTTAATATTATTGTACAGGTAAAAGTAATGACATTTCTCTCATCAAAAGAAGAAAAAAAAAGCTAAAACCCTATATTTAAAAAAAACTAGCATGTTAGTAAGCCTTAAGCAGCAACATCATAGTACCCTAAGTACTTTTCTAAAGGACTTCTGACAACAGATTTAAACACCTTGCCAACAACAAACCCAAACTATTACATGCATATTGGGCCAATAATTTTCACTTTATAAGTAGAAAATAACAGGTTTGTACCATATCACAGATGATAAGGGTAGCAGCCAAAGAAAGCCAGGAATACATACTGCATAGTGTAAGAAAACAAAAGTCTTTAAATAGATGACTTTAGAGGTAATTTAACAAGATGACAGAGGACTACATGGAAAATGGAGGACACATGGCAAACCAAGTCATAGATCCCAATAATTCTTTCTGCCAAGTCATTGTATGTAGTTATTGTTGGCCAACAATAGCTTTCTTGAGCATTTAATTGTGACAAAAAGAGCACAAATTTTATAGTTAGGAGTAAGAAAGCTATAACCTCATCTAATTAAGGAAATTAACACTTACGTTTACATACTATGTGCAAACTGTTAGGTGCAGATTAAAAAGGTTGGAAAAGTGAACTTGAATATTACATGAGTATTAACTTCAAAAATTGAAAGTCTAGATCCAGACTTATTCTTCAGGCAAAGTTTCTCTGGTATACATGTAGTAATTAAATCTATTAGCTTATTTTATTGAACAGATAAACTGATATTAATGTGTGTATTTAGGTATTTTTTTATGTTATTGTTGTTGGAGGGATGATCTTGATGGGTAAAATGACTATATGTACTTAATCTTATGTTCTGACAAGGTTCTCCATGCAAAACTCATTTTTTTACACCAACAAAAAGGGGAAATTTTTTAAGTGAATAATTTTTGTTATTTTTTTTTTTAAAAATATCTATAAATTGCACAGTTAATGAAAATCATATTTTACTGTAGTTAGTAATAAACTTCTACAACAGTTGGAAACATAGTCTGTATAAATTTGTTTACAATTCATGCAAAGCTATTTGTAGGCTATCTGCACTAGCCACCCTAATTTTGAAGAGACTGACTCGAGAGAGGGCAGCTAGTCAATCACTCACCAACATGTCTTAGGTAACTCTGGCCAGATTTAAAAGTGTGATTTGACTGTCACTTTTAAAACACACGTACAGCACCAAACTGTGGAGCACAATATTTTTTCTGTAACACTACACAAACCATGAAATCTCAGATCCACGATATAGCAGATAAATCACTGGGCTATGTTCAACCCGTGTGTATACATGTGACGTGATACATAGTTGTCGCACAGGTTTTAAACCTATCCAGGCTTCTGTCTACATTACTTTTGATTGAGGCCACTTTAGTTTGGATTATGTGAATGGAAGGATAACCTCGATACACTGAATGCCTTCTGTTGCTTTTGTACTTTATGTTCTTGTTTTCATTTTTCAATCCCAAAGAAGCCAATATATGAAGAAGTACAAATTAGATTATTGTATAATTACTACACAAATTTATTGTTTTCAACAAGTCTGGTTAGAACCAGACCAACAACAAACAAAAAAACCTAGTCCTAATAGTTTTTAAAGTATGCTTAAACTGTTTTCAAGTTTGTTTTTGTTCTTCTCAAATTAAACAAAATAATAATTTACATTAATTCACTTACGGTGTTACCTTAGAAAACTACTCAACTTGGGTTCCTAGTTATGCTACTCTGTTGTGAATTTAATAATTTGTATGATTAAATTATATTATCGTAGAACTGAAGTTTCACTTACCAATATCCTTGACATTTAAGAGTCCTAATATCACTTCACGGTGTTGGGTTCAATATCTGAATTCGCAAATTAAGATAACTTTTACTTATTTATGTTGAACTTTCTAAGAAAGAGCATTCACACTTATGTCAGAGCAGATGGAATCTTCTGTTACTAGAAACATTTAAAATTTAACAGATCTTACTGAAACTAAGGAAAATATGCAAAAAAAAAGCAAGCAGAACAGCACACTGATTCATTCATTTTGGTCATTCCTTAACCATAGTACATCAAATCCAAACATAAATCTACTTAAATGTAAAAACTTGTCTCCATACACTTATGGAATAGAGTTCAATAAAACAAGCTATCAGTGCACATTGCATTAATGGAAAATCAAGTCAACAAAATATAGAATTAATAATAAATTAGCTGCACTATTTTGCTCATTCAATCCCAGTTCAAGGTAGCACTGACTCTTAAAACTGGGCAAATTTACATACAGAGGAAACATTGTTAAACATTTCTTATAAGCTTCAAGTTGAGTACAAAACAAAAGTATGATGTTGCAATCTCTTGAAAGTACACTTGCAGTCATATATGTCATATACATAATTAATGTGGCAGGGATAAAGAAATACATAACATAAACTGTTTTGACACCATAACTTTACTTAGGAATGATAAAAATGTGAAAACTGATACACGTGCTCTTTGTGAACATCCTCATAGCTTGAATTAAAAACTTTGCAAGTTTTCTGCAATGTTAATGAGCTATGGGCAATTAATTTTAATTAATGATAATTGATTAGTCAAAATTACAATTAAATCAACTGTCAGAAAAATAATCAGCTAATTAAAATTAGGGTTTTCAATTATTCCAACTATCCAAGTAATCAAATTATAGTCACAATTTGCTCATCCTGTCTTGTTATGGCAGAGCTACTAGGGCTATCTGCCACTGTCACAAATTTTTAACTGCCGTCTAGAAGGAAGGCAACTCTCCAGCAGCAGTTCCAAAAAAACTGGTTGAGCACATACCAACATATTTTTGCTTGTTTGTTTGTATATAACAAGCTTTGCAGAACACTCCAAAAATCAACCTGATGATGAGTATGGCTATTCAAGTATAGTTTCCTTATGTTCCTACATATAAAAGTAAAAATGCTTTGTTTTACCAGTTAATTTTATTAGTTTTCAATCTATTTAGGTAACTTGCTCTAATCAGAAAATATTAATTACATATCCACACTTAAAAAAAAAGCAAAAATTTAAATACACCCTTTATCTTTCAAGAAATCACCAGTATCCCTCTAAAACTTATAAAGTGCCCACACTAATGCCAATGGCAACACATTCCATAAGCTAATCACCCTGAAAGAAAATTAAAACTACCATAACTACAGCTTAGTCTATCTGTTTTAAATCTTTAAACTTTTCATCCTATTGCTTTCATTATACAACACAAAGAAATTAAAAAACCATTATCCTATCAATTCCCAGAATAATCTTTTGAGCTTCAGTTATATTGCTTCTTACTCATCTTACCACAAGAGAAAACAAGTTGAGAGATCTTAACTTATAGCTTAAGATAATGTTTCCTCCCTGGAATTATCCTAACTCTTCTCTGAATCATTTCCATTAAGTAAATATCCTTTTTAAGGTAAGCCTAAAACTGTATACAATATTCTGAGTGAGGCCTAACTCATGATCTGCATCTGATCTGTTTTGACTTGTATTTATTATTTTATTAAATACATCTTAAAACGTCTTTTGGTTTTACCACAAATAACAAAGCACTGCCTCAATGGCTTGAATGATTTATCCACCACTAAGCCAAAACCTTTTCTTCAGTCATGCTATTGAGTTGGTTCTCACTTATAATTTTATATGAAATGTGATCCAGATAATATTAGCGTAAATGGGAGCTTTTCACTTACCTAATTAAAGGTCATTTGCCATATACTTGTCAAACAAACCAACTAATCAAAGTCTGTCATGCTTTTATACCTCAACATCCTCAATACAGCTAGAAATATCCAAGAGTTTAATGTCATTAACAAATTTTACTAATTATGCCCCTATCAATATCATTATGTTATTATGTAAATGCAAAGGCCCAAGTACAGACCCCTGATGCACTCCACTAGTAACAATTCAGTTAACTGGACTACATCAGTAACAACCAATTGCTTTCTTTCATCCAATACCCTACAATCCAATTAACTTGTCTTTTCCCAACCCCTACCAATGTGTTCTTCTCAGCTGATCTTTCATGGGCACCATATCAGAAAATTTTCAAAAGTTTAAGTGCACCAAGTCCATGCCAATGACATGTAACATTCTTGAATAAATTTATACAATTAGTAAGGCAAGATCTTCCCTAATAAATCCAGTTTCTTTTATAATAACCACATATCATTATACGGTTGTAAAGCTTCTTTTATCACTCCGAAAATTTTCTCACTACAGAAGTAAGACTAACTGACTTGTACTTTCCAGGGCACCTGTTCAAAAATAGGAGTAACATTAACAACTCTCCAACCCTCAGGTACTTGCCAAATCTTTTTTTTACCTATCAAAAATGATAGTTTGTTTTTTGCTTATATATCTGATCCATGATCTCCTTTAAACCCCTAGGAAAAACCTTTGTGTGGGCAAAGTAATTTATCTATTTTTAATCTCTCAATCTTTTTACTTACCACCAAATAGTTAATATCTACATGATTCAAGCCAATTCCAATAGTGATATACAAAGTCATAGATAAATATTATACTGCTCTAGACTTCCCAGCAGACTGTTATTTGTAAAAGAAAAAGGTGCAAATCTGATAAAATATTAAAAGTGAGACAGAAAATTTTAAGAGATGCTCCCTTAGTACTTCATACATCTTTTTTTGTACAGGTAAGTACAAGAAGCTGGAGAAAGATAAGTCGTAATATTACATTTTTGAATTATTTAACCATTTTGTTAGAACTGTGCTGGTGCCATTAATTTTGTCTCATGATACGAGACCTCAACATTCGATCATGAAAGTTAGATTAGTACGAAACACTCAAGGTCAATAAATAGATAGGTAAATCACAAAACAGAAAACCCAATTATTTTATTTCTGCAAAGGTAAATTAGCAATTACATATTTAGTAAATTGATATATAACCAGTCTCACATAACCCTATACTTTTCTTATTATTACAAATCTAAAAACAAATTTAACTATAGAGATTTGAATCCTATCTCCAGTTATTTAGAAGCACTATACTGCCAGCAATGGTAGTACTACAATTAGTGTCACAAGTAGTAATACTAGTATTCCAACCTTACTCATTATTCAGACATAACATAAAATTCACTCTCAATATTCCTTAAATTTATGTTAGTCTACTACACTGACAGTTAATGTCAAATCCAAGACTCTTGAGATTTTAATTGAGCTTTCCATGCTTGCATTCATATTAAAATAAAATCCATAATTTCTTTTTCTTCCTCATATAACATATCATATACTTATCAGCTGTATATTTCAACTAATGCAGATAGTTCTTAAATCTTTTTATGAAAATTCTATTCAAAACAGGCGCATACAACAGTTTTTCCAACTGAAACAGTGCTGCCATTTTATTTCCAAGGGATAACAAGGAGCCATTTGGCCCATCTAAACTATCCCATTTTTTAGTACATCCTTATTCCAAACTACATAAACCTCTTTTCTTGTATCAAATCCTGGCCTGTAAGATGCTCATCCAATCTTTTCTTAAACTCCTTTAATGTTGCTTCTTCTGCCATACCTAGGCTTGGCCCATGCAGAAATGATAGGGTGACTTGCACCCTCAGAAGTTAGTTTCATCCCCAGTCTCTTTCATAATAATTAACATTGTAACTATACTTTTATTAAGATTAAAAGGAATCAGTTAGGTATCAGCCCAACTCACCAAACAGCCCCAATCTTTCTCTTTAGTTCAATTTAAAATACTCATTAATTTTATATTGTCTGCAAATTTTACCAGTTTACTGTTATTCCTTTAAAAACAATATTAATCAAAATTAGAAATAGCAAAAGAGCCTAGCATAGAACCCCGAGGTAGTACAGTACTTGTTACATTAATCCACTGTGATTTTGTCCCATTTATAACAACCTTGGACTACACAACCAAGTTTTAACCCATGTTTATCTTCTACCCCATAAAGGCATTCTATTTGGTACCTTATCGAAAGGTTTCTGAAAGTTAAAGTACATCACATCCACTACATTATCCATGCCCAAATTGAAAGCAAATTTATAACACATAGCCTTCCCTTTCTAAATCCATTGTGTGATTATTTGAAACTTGTCTAAAACTTAATTGTAAACTGTACTGAAAAACTTATATCTAGTACTTTCCCAATCATTAAAGTAAGACTAACTGACCAGTAATAACCTTGAAATTATCTATCTTGTCTCTTCCCCTTTAAAAATCAATGACATCAACTAATCTATCTTCTGGCACTTCATTTTCAACTAATTCATTAAAAATTAAGATCAATGTTCTTCTTTCCCCCTTAATAATCCTAGGATAAAAATTATCTAGCCTAAATGCCTTATCATCCATTACTTTTCCAATCTTGAATCTTACCAGCTCTGGCTTAATAAAAGTACAACTAGCTTACTTCAAGGGCTAGAATTAGAAACATCTGCCAAATTGGGGATAAGAGACTTGTCTTTTAATTTAAACTGAAAGAAAAAATACAAGTAAAAGCACACTAATAATTGGCTTTAAACTTTTATAAAGTGAAGAATTTAGTTATATTTAAAAAATAAAAGGTTTACAAATACGTTTGGTGTTATGTTACACTGGTAGTGGTACGAATGAGAAATGGATTTTCTTTCCCCGTGAAAAGAAGAAATTGAAGAATGGTTCGCTGGTTTGTGACTCAGTCATGCTTTAGACTTCACAACCAGTATCAACTCAAGTAATCAACGTAAACAGAAGGGATATTGAACGTTATTTCTATACTACATTCAAACAAACACTAAGTCAGAGAAGCCAGCAAAGGAATATTATATAATATAGTAATAATATACTTTTTCACATCTGTCCTAGATTATTCTCCTTAGTTAAAATTAAATTAAAACCAATATAATTTCGTCTCAAATAAAAAAAAAGCTGTGTTCAATAATTTGTTTCTAACCAACACACACCTTAAAAAATACTTATACGTTCTACTGTTATAGCGTATTATAACTTTCTATAGTACATTTTATACCGATAGTAATATATTATGACCGCTGCTACATATCAGTGATTGTGATTCGATCACTAATTTCATATGACGTCACCGTATTAGGCTCAAAATACGAAAGGGGAAGTACCGTTTCAGTTAGTTTCGGATTGAACTTTCCAGAATTAGTTCAGAAACTTAGTATACTTTCAACAATTTGTTTAAAAAATACAATTTCCTTTTAATATTAACTCTATATTTTACTGCGTAGTGCATGAAATATAAATAAAGTGACGTCATTGCGTTAGAGGGTTAAATAAGATTCTTAGAAGCCTTTGCTTTGTTGCAACCGCGAGGTTTTTGATTAGGAAGAAAGAAGCTGTTCAAATTGTAAAGAAAAAGATACTTTTTTTTGCATAATATGATTAATGAATCCAACCAATATGGAAAAGGTCTAGAACAGCAGGTAAATCTCACGACTTTCGTTATTTGTACAATTTTCATTTATTGTATAAACTTATAAATTATATTAATTATTATAATCGACATCACTTGTCTTGAGTTGTTAAACTTAAGTTATTTATAACATGTCTACTCTAGCAGTAGCAGTTACATAAGTAGTACAATATTCCCAATACTAGTTCAATAGCAGTAGTATTAGATTAGTTAGTCAGGCCCAGATTGACTAATGTGCGCTCGGTGCACTTGTAGAGGTCTCCCAATTTGAGGGGGCCCCTCGACCATCGGTAAAAACTTTAAAAAAATAACAAGATTCCAAAAATGGGTGTATATGAAAAATACAACTGGCTAAAGTTAACAGTATACATTAACGTCATTCAATCATGTTCTACGGTACAATGACCACAATTCTTTCTCAGCATATGTGTCATACTTTTTTATAGTATTAGTTCAATGGGGTAGGATAGGAGTATTTTATAATTGATATTTTGCTTTAAATTATTAGAGTAAGAACACAAAGTCTTTGTACAGACAGTAGTGCTTGTGACATTGCATGTTTTCTGCTGAGAAAGGTGGTAAGTTGTATCTATAATAATAAAAGAACCTGTGTGTGTATGACTGCCATAGCTCCAAGTCCAAGAGGAAAGAACCTAGAGACGTGAAACTTTGCACACATACTTTTACTAAGGGGATTCTGAGGTTGTGCACCTGAGCATTACTTTTTAGATTTGACTCAAAAAATGTTTGGATAATTTTTTGCCCATAAGACCCATAATTCTGGTTTGTGAAGGTCTTTAGAAATGTATCATTTTTTCTCTAATTCTCAATGAATGTTTGAACAATATGTGGAGGTTTTCTGCCAAATACTCTTTTTTTCAACACAAGAAGAAAAATACAAATCTCAGAATTTTGAGAAGGACAATAATTCAATTAAAAATGCAGGAATTAAAAAATCGAATCTGAGAAGCTAAATTAAAATTATTTGCCTTTAAAAAGAATGGAATTGAATTAAGTTCAGGAAATGGCAACAGACAAATCGGTTAAAGAATTGGTGTAGCTATAGAAGTAATTAGGATAATGAAGATGCTTGACTGATATGTTGAGGCCTCTTTGAACCATGAGGGGACCTTAGAATCCCACAGCAGAGTGTGGGTATTTTATTCTAGTTAATAGTGAACTGTTCTGATATTTACACTTTACAGGCTGTATATATCATATGATCTGTCTAGCCTAAGGAAGGCAAATTTTCTATTTTGTATCAGGCCTCAAAATTCTTTATAAATAGTTATCGGAAATTTTTCTGTAGTCCTGCCAATTTACTGTTACTTAGTTGCTTAGTTATTTTCTCCCATGAAGTTAACTTGGGTAACTTTCTTTATAGGTTGAAGTTTATTATTCACTACAGCCATTGCCCAATAATAATAGTGAATGTGATCCTGATTGAATGAATTGATATGTGCTATTACTATAGCTAATACTGTATTACTTAGACTAATATAACATTGTTTACCCAAAACATTAAAAGAAGAAAATGGCATATAGTCTTTAAGAAACACTTTAATGTAAAATAACATTTAACAAATAACAAGGGACATGTTGGTCCATTGAGGCTGTCCCATCTACTTCAAAAAAATGTGCAGACCTGATAATTTAAATATTTATTGAGCATTCCCTTAAATATTATAGTATCTACTATATCTGAAGGCAACCCATTCCAAAGGCCAACCACTCTGTTTGTAAAGTGAAACTGTCTAAGCTGTAAATAACTCCTACCCAGCCAAAATTTATATTTGTGTTCCCCGGGCTTACCATTCTCATTATTAAATATAAAAGAAAAAATGAATCATTGCTACTATATATTCCCTTTAATATCTTTAATACCTCAATTAGACCCCCCCCTAACTATTATTTTTTTTAAAAGGGAAACAGTTTCAAAGATCTTAACCTGTCATCCTGGTAATAGTATCCTTCCTTTGAACCTTCTCAAACAATTCAAGGTAATACTTAAGGTAAGGTGCCTCAGACTGAATACATATGTCAATTGAGACCAAACCAGTGACCTTTGCAATGAAATTATAATACTTTTAGGCTGTATACAATATCTCTGTAAATAAATCATAAAATCCTATTTGTCCTATCCACTAGCAAGAGCATACTGCGTGGATGGTTTAAGATTGATCAACCAAAACATCAAGATCCTTTTCTTCCATAACAATGACAAGGTTATGCTCATTAAAATTATAATTGTAATTTAAATTATGATAACCCACATGCATTATATTGTATTTATTATAATTAAAATTTATAATTTATTTGCCCAACTCACCCAAATTCTTTGGTGGCTGAGACAAAGTCCTTGGAACTTTTATTTGACAAGCAGATTTTCATTCTTCACTTCAAGTAGCTTAAATTCAAATATACAAGGGCATTGGAATCCTGCTTTCCATTTCTTGGGGAACAGATAGGTCTTCTGTGCTCAAAATATATCTTTGTTTGATTTAAACTTGACTCTAGTACACATCAACCAAAGATTTTGTATTGAAGATGCTGGACCATGTGAATTTCTGAAAACTTGGGAACAAATGACAGAGCTGGGAATTTTTTTTATAGTTTCTTTAGAAGTTCTTTTCATTCATGAAAGTATTTGTGTCTTAAGTTATATCTTTTGTGAAATCTAGATAAATTTTCTTGAACAAGAAGATATAAGATAAGTTTAGTTAGGTCTAATGAGTACTGTAAGTAATGGCAAAAACATTGATGACTCAAATCCTTATTTATTGCATATCAGTTTTATGCTTATCATATTCAAACAATGTATAAATATAAATTGGCTAACTAGCTACTAATTATTTATAATTGAAATCACGATATGTTTAAAATAAAAACATCATTATTGTTAACGTTTTCATTATTTGATTATTATAAAGTTTTTTACTTACCATACATGAGATCAATGGGAGGGAAATCACTGCATATTTTAATAAACAAAATGGCAATTATATGCACATTGTGAAGTATGAAATGTTCAAATTATCTTTTTTAAAATTCCATCTATACAATTTTGTTTTCTTGTAAAATTAGCAAATGGCAACCACCAATGGAAATACTAAAGATGTCTATCATATTTCAGGAGGGATGGTTTGCAAATGTCTTAAGAAAAAGTAAAACCAACTGAAAATAGGAAGATAATCTTGAAATAGGTTCATGAGCCTGATGATTAATCAATTAGCAAATTTCACTAATCTTCCAGCTCTAACCTGAGGCAGTTGCAAAGTAAATTCTATACAGTTCTTGTTTAGGTTAATCATTGAAACCAGACTGCTATAACCCTAAGTTACAGGTAATTGCCAGCTAATAACTGCTCTAAGATTCAATTATGAATTTTTCTTTTCCTCATTAAAACTTGTAATTTCATTAAAAAAGAATCTGTTAATAACAGAGGCATAATTTATTATTTGATTCACTGCTTTTTCTGGAGTAGACTATAGTTTCACTGAATCAAAGCTTTTCAGGAGTGCTTGGGAGAGCAAATCAAAGAGCTACAATACACTTCTGTATAGTGTTGGAATGCAAAAAAATTATAGGATTTGATGTAAACTCCTACAAATCACTATATAACTTATCATTCAGTTAACAGGGAAAGTTATCTCTCATGCTTTTTTTTATTATTAGCAATACAGATTTTTGTTTCTTTCAAATTGACAAATACAGATTTGTACATGAATGATATATTCATGTACATGCAAATAGTATTTTTATTTATAATGGGTTTTTATGTAAAAATAATGCATAGTAATGTAGTTACACATGTTACCTGGAGCACCAATAATGTATAGTAAATGATAGGGCCTAAAACATCTCTTAACCCATTACCTGCCGTGGCCATTATGTCTTATTGTGAGGGCAAAATCACATTTGTGAATTGAAAAAATTATAGAGAACTAATCTTTTATTGGATTTCAGATTTTATTTTTGTAAATAGCAGAATAGCTTTTAATTATTTGTACAAAATTGTGTTATTTAATGAAGTTTAAAGAGAAATTTAATTTAAAAAAATCCCAAAATACGTTTGAAACTATAAATAAGTGCCCTCTGAGAAGAAAATTTCAAATTAAAAAAAAAAATTTCTTTCCACTTCAGTGCTGGTCCTGCCATCTATGATTGGTATCTAAATCTTTTAATAGTCTGTTTCCTTTATAAAACAGTGTCTGGGCATGTTAAACCTCAGTTGTAAAACTTTTACCCAATCCTAGTCGAAGGTGTCAATTTCAGTACCATGTTATTCTAGTCGCTGTATTTCAAGTTTGACAAATCATAGGATGATAAGCAAAGCACTTGATGAAGTGTTATCTGGATTTAACAATATAAATGTAGGTGGTGCTTATTATAGTATCTGCCATTTTATGTAGAGGTTGTATTTAGTATTGGTCAATAGTACTTTTTTATAAGCCTTAGTAAACTTGCTTCTGGAAAAAACTGCATGGGATATATGTGATTTTTATTAATTTTCTATAGTAGCTTAAGTCATACTGTATCGTATATCTATTTATATTAATCATTATATTGAAAAATTAGCTCAAAGTAGATATATTTTTTAAGAAAGAAGTTGATCCACGATTGTTAGGGTTAAGAGCTATCAAGTGCAAGGTCTTTACATGAATTAGGCTTAGCATTTTGAACTGAAAGAGTTTGTGATTTTTTATATTCTTTTGCATTTAAATTAGTAGTTTTAAGTTCAATAATTTAGCGTAATTTTATATTTAGTTAATAATAATAATATGATTCAGTATTTAGAATGATAAACTTGTGTGATTTGTATGTAATACTGCTATTACCAGAACCACATAAGAATTTTATATTTTTCCTTCTTACAATCTTTACTTTGTAGTAAGACCCACACTTCTGTTGTTGTTGCTTTAAAATTAAAACAGTCTAACTGATATATATAAAGTTTCTTCTGATATTTTGCAAATGGTTTAAAACTCAGTGTACAAGTGACAACAATAATACCCATATGTTGGTTGTGAAACAAACTAAATACATTCTTCTCAATAATACAGTGGAAGCTATGACATTCTCACAGTAGGGGTCTCAACACACTGAAGAGCTTAAGTTTCGAATTACAAACATAAATCTTGCCTATAATGAGAGGAGTGTGACCAGAACTAATCTTTTAAATGCTGTAAAGTAATTTTCTTTTTAACTTATGGTGTCTGTATGATTTGGTAATCTGTTCTAACAGGATGTATCAAGTAACTAAGGTCAGGCAGTGTTATTCAAACCACCTGTACTGTAAACTATTAGTATTACATACATTCGCTGGTAGTAGCAATTAGTTTTGTCTGTATAGTGAAACAGCATACAAGGACATATGTTGAAATAAACTTGTTTAAAAGTTCAAAGAAATGATATTCAAGTACCCAAATGATTTCTTACTATCATATCTACAGTAATGTTGAAATGCGCCTGCTCTGTACTGAATGAGAGTGATCTCCAACAGGCATGATAGTTTACGCAAATGTACAAATTTACACTGCACTGGCACAATAAACAAAAGTATGGCTGCAATGATACATAAACCTAAACTTGAAATAAAAATACATTTATGAAACAAAATTAAAATATTTTTATGTACATATATAAACATGAAATCCTAGTTAAAAATGAAAATACTCATTTATTGTTTCGGTTTACTTAAAAATATTATTTTCAGGTCTTGTATATTACTTGAAACCATAAGGAGAGTATGTGATTATTAAGCAAATTAAAAATAGATAAAATTTGCATTTTATAGATGATAAAAAAATTTTGGGATTTTAAAATAATATATTATAACATAAAAAGTAATAAGTTCAAATTTGGAACAAATATAACTATTGTAATCATTTCTTATAAATACCATTTCCTAATGTAATTTTTCAAGATATTAAAGATCATAATGCAAAAAAACTAAATTCATCAAAAGTACCAGCCTTTATGTTTAATAATGGTTGGAAACGGCTTGAATGGGTAATGAAGAAAAACTTTAGTGTAAGTTTAACATAACGGCAAATGTACAACGTTTCGACAAGGTTTTGTCATCATCAGGTACCTTGTCGAAACGTTGTACATTTGCTGTTATGTTCAACTTATATTAAAGTTTTTCTTCATTACCCATTCAAGCCGTCTCCAACCATTATTAGTCTCAAAGTGGGTTCCTCGTCATCGAATTTGAGCCTTAATGTTTCTTAAGCTACATGCATTTATGAAAGTTCTTATAAAGTTTCAAATAGTTTCATCCACTAGTTTTATTGTTGGAATGAAATATAGCAAGACTTGCATTGGCTACTCGTGAAGTTAGTAGCCAGTGGTCATTGGGTTAAGAATCCCACTAGGCACTTTTCTGTAATCATAAAAAAATGTAAGGAATATGTTAGTTTTTTTTATTTTTATTAATTTATCACTCAGATATAGAAGCATTTTGTACTTTTTATGGATGGTTTTGATACAATACAATTTTTAACACTTATAGTTTTTTGACTTACCATCGACCCTAGAAAGAATGCAGTTTTAAAATGTGGCATGTGCTTTCAACATCTCATAAAAAGAAACTATTTACCTTTTTTTTATTCTTATTGTGGGTTTAGGGTGATAGAAAACTATTTATTGTACCTGTTTTGCAGTTAAGTTGTAAACAGCATGGGAGCTTTAATGGATGCTTTGACTTGGCTTTTTTAATCTTATTGATATTCATGAGTTGCAACATATTAAAAAAAATTTGTTCATACAAATAGTTTGCTGGTCTGGACTTGAGTGCCTCTCAAAACCAAAGTGGAGGTAATTCTGGTAAGTTAACAATTTTATTTTATTTTTCATTATCAAACATCCATGGTTTTCAATTATTACAGACTTATTAATTCAAAGTTGTTTCTTACTTTTTATATTGTTTTATAAAACTTCTTAATTTCTGGGCCCTAAATATAACCTTAATGTTATTAGTGTGTTGAAGCTGAAAGTAATTCTTTTGTAGATTATTATTTATATAATGAACTTTATTAATAACTGTTTTTCTTACACATTTTACATTCAAAATTAAAAATATTTAATACAGTTTTGAGTGCAGTAACTTTTTTATTTGGCTACAAGCTTTATTATGAAAGATTTTTATCAGATGGAAAACAGTGTTATATTACTTTGAAAACTTGGAGGTATTCATCTAAGTACAATCTTAGCTGTTATATCACTTGTGGATCAGCTGTCATAGTGAACAAAAGTTAAAAGATGAAATAAACCATTTTACACAAGTCAGAGAACAAAATACTAAACATAACTCTAGTACAAATATGTGATTAACTATGAGACCCAGATGCAGCATAGACTTGACACATGTATGGTTTGTTTTATTGCATTGCAAAAATAAACTATTGGGTGAAATAGCTTGAAACTTCAGAGTTACTGTCTATAGATTATGTAGTTTCTGCAAATAAAATATCTTAGTTTTATACATGTAATATTTGAATCCACTGTTATGAAATTTTGAAAAGCCTTCATTTTGATAAATTTTTTTTAAAGAAACAATTAAAAGTACTAACCCTTGTTGTAGATTTCTGTCACTGGTTTTTGTCTTCCCATGCTATTTTAAAACTTTCCTATAAAGTTTTTATTTCATAAAAATGTTATCTTGATTTTGATTAAAAATAGTTTCACTATGTTTGGGATAACTGGCATGCAATAAAAATAACATTTTACTATACCAAAATTATAAGCAAGTCAGATTTTTCTCTAAATTGTTAATCAGAAGGTATCATCCAATATCTAATATATAAAGCTAAGTTTGTGTCTGTTCGCACCTTTCAGACCCTATAATAGTAGGCCTATAAAGATATGAAATAAGCATACTTAGGTTTAATGTCTGTGATGTCACATTTTTAGTGTCAGTGAAAACTTTGTAATCTAATTTTTTTCACAGAAGACTGACTGCATTTTTGATTTGATATAAGTAGAAATAACATCAGAAAAATTTGTGTATATTCTACAGAGAGGTGTGCTGCTGTTGTGAAGTCAAAATAAAAATCCATCAAATGCTGTCATGTCTATGGACAAACAAGACTAACTTTTTTATATAATAAACAAGTTGAACATGCAAAATTATCCACAAATAAATTTTTTTTTATTCACTTTCTTTTGGGAGGGGAGATAGGTATGATAAACATTTCTGATGCTGATTATGTAGAATGTTGAGAAACAGAGAAAAACATTTCTGATTGTAATCATAAGCAGCAAAATGTATGCAACAAAAGCGACAGTATGAGACTCCACAAGAAAGAAAAACATGCCTTGACAGCCAAGGAAAAGGCAGGCTGCTCATTGCAGAGGCAGTGACTGCATCTGCCATGCAGAGCGGCGTTTGCAAGAAACGTCAAGAACACGAGACCTTTGTTTGATCATTTCTGTTTAAGAATAAGTAAACATCATCCCTCTGTCCAGATAGTACCTGGGCAACAATAGGTAGGGATGGCTAGTGTGTAATGAGTTTCAAAAACATCTTTATTTAATTTTATATATATATATATGTATATAATGTTTTTTTTTCATTCAAGCAATTACACAGGCCAATGTAACAAGACCTAACACAATAGTAACAAAACTTGATACTGTCAAGTGGAAAAATGATTTAACTAAACTTACCTTTCTATAATACTTCAAAATCATAATGGGGAATATTTTTGCCATTTTATTTGCATGGCAGCACCGTCATGAACTCAGTCATGGAAAGGAAACGTTCATCTGTTTTGGTTCACATTTGCAACATTATCATCTCAGTTGATACATCATCATATTGGTGTTTATTCAAGTAAATTGGTACCTTTTTCATTTGATTACAAGAATGACAAATCAGTGTTGTGTTCCCAGGGGC